CACCAAAAACTATGGAACTTATATGGTTCTTTTCAGCTCGACTAGATGGTCCCAACGAGCTCGGTGCTCGCCGAATCCGTCTAGTATTCGCCGAGATATTTGCGTAATAGACGGTATTGTCTATGAGTTTGAGCACGAGCGCTCTTGTAAAATTTGGTTGCAATCTGAAACATCACCACTAGAGGCCGCTAAAAGTTACGTAGAGCACCTTTAAAAACACCACATATAAACAACATTAAAAGCTTGATTTTCACCACAGGGGGACTTTAAAACTGTTTCATGGAGTTTTTGTCTACTGAAAAACATTTCGTCAGCTGAACAATCTCTTTGTTGTGCGATCTATTGAACACACTGTATTCTATTCCTCACAGCCTCGTTTTCATTCCTGTCAAAAATGATATATGGCGTTCCACTGACTAAGGTCTATGGTTGATTCTATGCTGTTAGAAACCACAAATGTCTAAAAAATTAACTTTTAAAGGATCATTTACCCTTAAAGTTAAATACCATTATTCTTTTATGAATTAAGTTTTTCGAGTATGATCATCAGCACACCAGAATGATAATAAAGGCCAATATGTAAAATATGTAAAACTCGAGTTCAAAAGTTCTTTTTGATTATCAAGAGACATTCACTAAACATGTGTAAAAAGAAAATCATGAGAAGTTCCTCTGTGCATATAAATACGAATAATTCACGCAATTATTAGTGAATGAGACCCATTGTTTATTGGGGAACACTGCAGCCGTGGTATCTTGAGCCAAAATCGACATTAACTTTAAATATAAACTTAACAATAAAACAATACATTTATTTTAAGTTATATAATCTCTATATCATCTCTTAACTCTATAAACTCTAAAAGTGGCTGTGTAAATGCAATTTTTAATGATCTGATGACATTAAATGCTTTATCATATTATTTTTTAAATCATTATTTATTTATTTTTGCCTAAAAGAAACAATCCACTTCAACTATTCCATTAATTTTTCAATAATTTTCCATATTTCATTTCATAAAATATGGTATTGTGGATAACATGGATTGCAACACTTGAATGACGCAAATACATCATCATGTTACATCATGGCCGACTAACTCTACCTCCAGATCTCTGAGACATGGAAAAAAAACGCTTTCTCGATAACGAAATCTGTAAGGTTCTGTAAGGTATGTTGATAATGATCCTGGAGCTAGAAATGCTTTTTTGCATCCAACATGAATTAAACAGTCAGTTAATCATTGCTGCCTAATGTTGCCATTATCAATCATTACAGTCTATGAGATTAATGAAAGCTTCCTCTGCGCCAGATTTCCATCTGTACCAACACAGGGAACGACACACATAGCGTTTCAAATCACGTTTTACAGCATTTGTCAAAGTTTAATAACATCAACCCTCAGCTCTGGCCAGTATAAATTAAACCTTAACCCATCTGGCTGACTGTTAGACTCTCCTCCATGCGCCAACAACAACTAAATGGAAGAAATGATCTAATGTAGTATTAGATATTGTTCTTACTGGAAACTCTTACTTGTATTCTTTTAATTAAATGACAAGCATCAATTATCCTACAAACTGAGAGGTTATTTTACTAGGCAGACCTCACCACAACCAATTTGTCCAAATAAACACTTCTCATATGTGTGTGAGGTAATTCGCTCCACTTTCACTGTGAGTTTAGTAGGGTTGTGAACCTACACTGGTCTCACGGTTCGATTACGTTTATCATGTCATCGATGCAGTTCAATTCGATATCATGATGCATTACGATGCACCACATCCTCAATTTTCAATATTACTTCAAAAGTGATGTGTGCGTGCGTGTGCGTGTGTGTGTGTGTGTGCGTATTCGCCTGTTCGGGAAGTCCCAGTGACAGAAACAGTGACATTCAAGGGAGTAAATCCTGTTTATGCCATTAAGAAAATGAAATTCTGTCAAATCAATTTTGTTTTAAAGAAATGTTCATTTAAAAGCAGCGCTCATTCATCAGTGTATAATGTTACCATTAGAGATGCGCGCATCAACCGTCGCCGAGTCCGCTGTTGAAGGTGACGATCATCCATTTATAGTCACACGTAACAATACCGAATAATTGTAATTTGATCATCGGGTACTTAAATCAGAGAAAATGATTGGGGCGGGTGGATGATTTGTATTTGGCTGCGGATTCGGGTGACGTTGGAGTTCATCCGCGTATGTCACTCTAAAGCAGTCAGACTCTGCCAGGCGTTAACAGCTCGCGGTGAAACGGCTAACGTGGTTTATCTATTAGTGCGTGACACAGCGCGTGTCTTCTCCAGGTCGTGCTTACCAGGTTGTTCATAAAAGCCCAAATGTGCTCAGGTGTAGGCTTTTAACCCTTTAGCTGTCACCCCGCTTTTTGAGCGTTGACGTGAAAATACACTACCCAAACTTAAACGGTTGTAATTCATGAAGCCTTTGTACTTAAGACTTACGGTTGGTCTCTTTTAAAAGAAGACTCTTGGCAGATTATTGCTGAAGTGGAATAAATTAATAGAATTAAATTATTTAAAAGTTATTGAAGTTTAAGTTTATTGTTATGAAAATATATGAAAATATATATTTTTCTTTTATTAAAAATATATATAAATGAATATAGGTTTCAGCCTAAAAATGACAGAAAGTCAAAGCCATATATCTAACCAAGTTGTGTTCCAAATTTGAAGTTGATATCACAAACATTGAAGTTCCCATGAGATTTTGTTTAGGCGTAGTACCAAAAATACCCACCGGGTGCCATTGCATTCCATTGAATTTAATTGTATGCATTCTGCCATTACAAATTAATACATTTCTATCCAAATATCACTTCTGTCACTAAATACGGAACCTTGAGACTCAGACCTTTCTGACAATATGTGTTTTGTCAAGATTAGAACATTTTTGATAATAAATTATGAAAGATGATGCCCAAAAGGGGAAGGGCCTAATAAAAAAATACCGTTTATATGGTAACGCAACGTCCAATTTCAAAACGGTTTTCACAGGATGAATTCTTAAGCTTTCAAATGATACCTAATTTATGATAACTACTAAAATATGTGATATAATAATAATAAAAAATGATATATATATATATAATATTATACTTTTTAGAGGACTTTTTACTTTACTTTTTAAAATATAATTTTATCTTTTTTATTGATAATTACTAGATTATGTTTTATTATGAACTTTTAGCATTAAAAAACAAAGTTTCCATTATTAAAAGTGTGTGCGTCAACTTTTTGTGACAAAGGTCAGAAACTCCTGTAATGACGTCGATTTTTTGAGGCGCACTCTTGTCATAAATTCATATATTACTGTTCATACATAATTTGTAAGAAAAAAAACAGCGCTAAAATATCTATTAAGGAGTCTTAGACCTTTCCAACGATATATAGTTTGTCATGACTAGATTAGGATTTAATAGTAATATAGTGAAGTAAATTTAGGTTGCCCGTATACGGGCAGGTGACAGTTAAGGGGTTTTAAAGTAGTTTTTTAATTACTTGCACTCGCGTTCGCCTCCCTCTGCCATTATATGCTACCGCGACAAAGCACATCTGCGACAAATGACGTCAGAAAAGCGTCAGTACATTATAATCGGTTATGGTCTATTACTGAACCGATACCGAATCGTCCACGTCTGCATCGCGATGCATCGTTGACAATTAATTTCGACACCCCTAGAGTTTAGGCAAGCTATTATATTTTGAGAAAATGTGAGATTTTATAATTCAAGGGGTCTTTATTTTTGAGAGTTTATGAAATTAAATTCACATAATTTTTTAATAATACCTTAGAGAAACAGAAAAACAAAATAGAAAATGTTCTCTACAATAATCTATGCAATTACATTTTAGCTATAGCTGACATTCAATGAACTGGGGTGGCAAATGCAAATGTGCCTCATCCTCCAGGCCACAACATTTTTGTTGTTTGTAAGTGGAGTGGATGATTCTGGTCTTGTTGAACGCTGCGATCATTTATAAGCATTGCATGTGCAGTGAAGTGTTTTGAGATGCTGTCTCATTTGATCTCTTATATTGGCGGTTGATGTATAACGTGTCCAAGGACTTTCAGTCAACATCAACATTTCAGATTAAAATGTATATGGGTGTAAAAGGAAACAATGCTGATCATCGGTCTGTAACTGGCCAATATTTATTTTAATTTATTCACCATATTTAATCAACTTTTTACTAGATTCTACTTGTGGCGTGACACATTAATTAAAATCAGACATAAAAGCTGCATGCATAAGAATTAGGAAAATGTGCAAAATCCTGTATAAAATAATTTTAGCTTTAAATTAATTTTTAAATGAACTCCAAAAGTGTGGAAATGCAGGTTTTAATGATCTGATGACATTAAAGTGTTTATCATATTATTTAAAAAAATATATATATATTTAAAAAAATATATATATAGATAATTGTATGTTGCCTCGAAGTAATCTATTGAAGCTCCATTCATTTTTCAAACATTTTAAATATAAATCCTTTTATTATTCACCATATTTCATCACTTTTTAACTGATTCTTACAATTAACATCAGGCCATAAAAGCTGCATTCATATTAATTAATGCATAAGATAATTTGCAAAATGCTATATAATTTTTTTTAGTTTTTGATGGAGAATGTCATGCCACACCACAAGACATGGCAACTTCCTAAAAGTATTTAATGTCTACAAACCCTGTTTAAAATGGGATTTCTACTGTCTGCCTAATCCACTTATTTTGCAACACGAATATAAAATCTGGATAACACATGCATCTTTGGAACATCCATAAAGGAACACGTCCAGTTGCATCTGTGTTACAGATGAGCATAGCCATAACAAATTAGACAATGTCAGATGTAATACTAAGCGGCAGAGTGCAGAACTTGATGTCAAATCCAATTGATTATTACTTTATATTTTTCAGCAGAAGTCCCTGAGTAATGGCATGTTTGTGTTTATGGACACGTGTGTGTATGTAATACCTGCGTGACTGGTCTCTTCAGTTCATTGCTGTAGTAGCAAGGCTTGCAGGTGATCCAAGCTGAGAAACCACACACACTCTCCAGTACAGCCTGCAGATCTGATGTAAAGCTTCCCAGCACCCCCTGCAGGTCCACTCTGGGAAAGCACTGTACTGGCTGAGTGCGTATACAGCACAACGGATATCTGAGCAGGACGTCAAGGATACATATCTCTGACTGCCAAGATAGAGAGAGAGAAAAAAAATCACAGCTTTCCAAAAGAACAAAGCGGTTATAAATTAGATTGTACAGCAACTATGCAAACGTGGCACTTTTAAAAATGCATTGTGTGTTTCTAGTCTTTAATTTGTCCCTGCAATGTGTGATGCTATACAGACCTGATTCCATATGTGCACAGACCTAGCACAAGTGTGAAAATGAGGCTTATGTAATATTAATATTGAGAAACGTGTTCAGGAATGAGTTAACTCATTGCAGATACCGGGATGAAACACAGATGAAGGCTGCTACTCTTACAATTTCTTCAGTTTAGAGTATGTATACAGTGTGCAGAATGCAGATTTTCTTTATGTACACAACCATTTAAATGTTTTTTTTTTATATACACTACCACTCAAAAGTTTGGGGTCAGTGAGAATTTTATTTTTATTTTTTGGAGGAAAGAAATCAATACTTTTATTTATCAAGGAATAATTAATTTGATCGAAAGTGACAGTAAAGACATTTATAATGTTACAAAAGTCTTTTGAACTTCCTATTCATCAAAGAATCCTAAAAAAAAAAAAAAAAAAAACTGTACAACTGACAGACCAACAACTGTTTCAACATTGATAATAATAATAAATGTTTCTTGAGCATCAAATCCTCATATTATACTGATTTCTGAAGGATCATTTGACACTGAAGACACTGACACTGGTGATGCTGAAAATTCAGCTTTGATCACAGGAATAAATTACACTTTACTATATATTCACACAGAAAACAGCTGATTTACACTGGAATAATATTTAATACTATAACTGATTTTTGTTGTATTTTTAATCAAATAAGCGCAGCCATGGTTAGCAGAAGAGAATTCTTTTAAAAGTATTTAAAATCGTACCGACCCCAAACTTTTGAACGGTAGTGTATATATATACTTTCATTAAGCAAAGACATTAAATTAATGTAAAATGACAGTTAAGATATGTAAATTGTTACAAAAAAAATCAGATAAACGCTGTTGTTTTGTTCATTTCTTTTCAAGAATCCTGAAAAAAAAACTGTTTTCAACATTGATAATAATCATAAATGTTTCTTGAGCAGCAAATCGGCAAATTAGAATGATTTCTGAAGGATCATGATGAACAGAAAACTGTTATTTTAAATTTAATATTTAAATTTCACAATATTACTGTTTTAATCGCCTCCATTTTGTTTAAATAAATGCAGCCCCGGTGAGGTATAAGAGATAAAACACTTGACTTTCCATTTATGAAGCAACCCGTTGGAATCATTTCTATTTTGATTATCCCTTTCTTGATTCAACATTTGATTTTGTCATCAGTTCTTTGACACAAAAAGGATTAAATATGCAAAATAACCATGCAACCATTAGATAACTGTACGCCACTCACAAAATTAAACATGCAATGTAATGAGGTCACGTGACAACCATGTATCATACTAATGTTTGAAATGCTGCATAATGCAAACTGTTTCACATGTTGGCAGTGTTCAGTGTTCAGTACGGCACAGTGTGTGGTAAACAGGGTGCTAGTCCTGCAGTCTGAACAAATCTGCTAAATTCTCCAGAGTTCAGCCCAATTCACCATAACTACCTGCCAGGCTCATGTCCACTAGGTGTCATTATCATGCTGCACGAATGTCAGTCTAAGCCAGACCTCTGTACTACTTTTCACATTCAATTTGTAATCCAGCAGCACTTTTTTGAATGATTTCTGAAGGATCATGTGACACTGAAGTCTGGAGTAATGATGCTGAAAATTCAGCTTTGATCAAAGGAATAAATTACATTTTACAATATATTCAAATAGAAAACAGTTATTAAAAATGTAATAATTCTTCACAATATTACTGTTTTTACTGTTTCAAATGCAAGCAGCCTTGGTGAGCAGAAAATACCTTTTTCAAAAACATAAAAAAAAGAAAGAAATCTTAATTACTTTTGACCACCAGTGTGTGTCTGAAAACCAATTTCTGTTTCTAGCAACAATGCAATCAATTCATTTGTGATGCTGTAAACAGAGCACAAGCATAAAATGACTATAAATTGGTGTTTTGGGCAAGTTTATGCCATTTTACTGAAACATGGATGAAATCAATACCTTATTAGCAGGTAACTGACAATAAACTACAATAACAACTGCCTTTACTAAAGGATACGTGAACGGCTTGTCACCTATTAGTTTGAAGTACACACTGCAGTAGATGACCTCCTCTTCACTCACTGAGGGCAGCTGATATCCATACTAAACCAAGAGACACAGTTAAAGAGAAAGAGAAAAATAAGTGAATAGCAACGTTGGAGAGACAAAGACAGGAACATTAATACAGTTTAGTGACATTAGGTAATAGACAAACAATAAAATCTGCACTTAAAACTCTGTGTTCGAGTATATTTGTAAGCAAGCAAGCACTTTCAAACTAAATATTTGGATGTGATTTGGTTTTGAACAGATGGTGCATATACACGATATAAATGAGCAATCGTGCATGTCTGCACATACATACAAATGCTGTTTGATAAAGCCAAGCCTTACGAGTCTGTTTGTGATCAAAGGTTACATTGTGACCTCTAATCCAAACAGAAGTGGATCAGTGTGCTCAACACACACACACGTTGTGTTTTCATGTTTTATGGGAAATTTCCATAGACGTAATGGTTTTTATACTGTACAAACTGTATATTCTCTCCCCTTACACTAAACCTACCCATCACATGAAACTTTCTGCATTTTTACATTTTCAAAAAACATCACTTAGTATGATTTATGCTGTCTTCCTCATGGGGACCAAAAAATGTCCCCACAAGGACAAGGATTTTAGATATTGCCATCTTTGTGGGGACATTTTGTAGGGTTTTGTAGACCCCATAATGTAGGGTTTACCAGGCCACACACACAGTACTATATGTGCTCACACACACACACACACACACACATTAACAGAGTGGCATGCCAATGCAACACTTCTACAGTCTTAGCAACAGGATGACAGATAATTTACAAACTGTGTCAGACACTGAGACATTTAATTTTATATTTAGCAATATTATTACAACATTATTTTCCTGTTATCTCTGTGAAGCTGCTTTGAAACAATCTGTATTGTAAAAAGCGCTATATAAATAAAGGTGACTTGACTGAGACACCATTCACTGTGAAGCCACATTGTTTTAATGAGGTTCTGTACAGTGAATGAAACGCTATAATGATCTGTAAATCGTTTGCTCCAATTTAATAGTCTGGCATATTGATAGAAATGTTTATTAATATGCACTGTCCCTGTAATAAATAAAAAATAAAATAATAAAATAATAATACAGTAACACTATTTTGAATTTATTATTGCATTATTTATGATGCATTTGGTGGTTAACCAGAGCAAATACAATTGACCTTTTGCCGGCCCCTCCCCTAAAACGGCCATTGTCCAATCACACATCATAGCAACCGTTACTATGTGAGCAGGTCCGTCAAACATTGACTCCAAGCAAGATGTAACGTTTGTAAATCGGACACTAGGTACCCTAGTGTTGTGTTCTTTCCGTTTCCAAAGCCGAAAACACAACGTGAGCGGTGCCTACAATGGATAACAGTGTGGACGGCCCCACTCCCAGTCAAATGTGTCGAACATGGTTAACTCGCGTGCAGCGTGCGTGAGACACTGAGATTAGTCAAAGAAACATGGAGAAAGCAGACCAAGAGGATCCACAAAGGAATTACGTTTTCTAAAGGGTTGTTGTTAACATGATATTCTCGGGGGAAATGAGCAGCAGTCACTAGCAGTGCAGCACCCGTAGACTACAGTTTAGAGGAGTGCACGCTCGCAACGGGGGAAGCATGAAGCTTAACGTTACTTGACAACATCAGTTCATATATCAATATCGTAACGAATAGAAATAACCTTAAATAAATACTTTTTATGTATTTTTTTTATTTATTTATTTATTTGTTTATTTAACAGGGACATTGCACAACAAATGTGTTGCACAGACCAGAAATAGCTAGAAGCTAATTTTCATCTGTAGTCCCTGGACAGAGGCAAGGTGACAGCAGGTTAATACAGTGGACAATGAGCATTTCCAATGATGAGTCCTTTCGTAATACAAAATTACAGATAAAACACCAGCAAAAGGATCATCTCAACAAAACATGCAATTGCACTACCAGTAGTGTTTACAACTATTTACAGTTCCCTTTTAAATTTACCTTCTTACATTTTTAACCAAATCCCAATTAACCAGTTTTGTGCTAATGATCACAAATCTGACCTTCTTTCAACCATTTCTTCAGGTTAAGTTTAAACTGTTGCAAGGTGCTACTCTCTCGCATAGTTAAAGGCAGCGAGTTCCACATCCCTGCAGCTTTCACAGAGAAGCAATTCTGTCCAAAAGCAGAGGACCTAAAGTTGACATAGCAGTCTCCTCTGGAGGTGGCTCGCGTTGTTCTAAGTCCTACCTCTTCACACGATTTAACAAACATACTCACGAAAATTTTAAATTTTAAACACGAAAATCGCATTCAGCATGACACGCAAGCGGTTGCCGTGGTAATGAACAGCCTGCTTGTTAAAGCGAATGTATAATCCTGTATCTGAGGCAAAATTACTAAATATGCAGCGCGAGTTATATATTTCTAACTCCAATTAGCCACTGAACCAGCTTATAATCGCGTCGCTTCCATTATGAGCGCGCATACCGCGCGCCTACATTTGAAATAACGAACTTGAGCGCGCAAAAGACGCGATATGGGAGCGTACCCTTAAAGGGCCAGCATCCAATAATGCTTTCTGTCAGTAAAGTTAATCAAAGAACAAAGGGAACAGAGAAAAACACTCACTGCTCTTGACCAAAGAACTTGTGTAGCTTTAAATAGGATTTTAGTCCATATAATTTATCATTTATGCAGCGCAGACTGTTTGATAACTTTATTCAATTTCTGTATATGTCCTACCTGTTAGACAGGAAGAGCACAGGTAAATATGACATTTATTATGGGTTTATGTGAGGATTGTTTGAAGTTCACTTAAATTCAAATTAAATTAATTTGTATCCAGACATCAATGGCTTATTGATCATTATAGGTGTTATCAATCATTTAGTTGTTGTTGCTAGTTTGAGTTGAGAAATACACATTCCAGAATTATCACTAATCTGTGTGTGCATTTTTCTTTAGAACCAAGCAAGTTGACTCATGAAACCATTTGTTTATTATATCACAATCGCATATCGCAATATTGACCTCAATAATCGCAATATGACATTTTCCCCAAATCGTGCAGCCCTACATGAGAGCGGTATAAGCATTCGCCTCGATAGTAGTCGTGTCTCCTTCATTGCGTATTTTTATATTTTGAATATATATTGCCTCGATCTGGAGGATATCGCTGAGGTATTGCTACAAAAAAGGTCACTGACACGCACGGGTATACCTCTTCCCGTCATGGCAATCTGTCGCGCTGGTCGTGTTTGACCATTTGTTTGACGGGCGTAGTAACAATAACTAGGGGGCGTGGCTTTTGCGAACGGTCAATTACTATTGCGTATAAAAAATATTAAACTTTGGATCAAACACCATGTTTACCATGTTGTTCCAGTGGTTTTGAAGCTCCGTGTAAGATTGAAATGGGCTTTCCTGTGGAATCCTGCGACTGATGCTGATGATTTGGCCTTTCTTCAGACTGCTCTCACACACACACACACAGAGAGAGAGAGAGAACAATGCAGGAGAAATATTGATTCATAAATCGAACACTGCCAACAAAGGAGATAATGATTAGGATTTTTTCCCTGCATGATGGCCCGAGGAGCAACAGTACAGCTCTAGAAAGTAACTGTTGTAAAAGTATAACGTCGTATAAAGCAGTCTAAAAGAACACACACACACACACACACCTCGGCAGAACGTGGCACCAGTTATTTGGCCTGACTGTATGCAGCACAGCATTATCAGTATGGAGGAAGCTTTTCACCACAGGAGCAGGAATGTCAAAATCATTTATCTGGCAGAAGACAGAAAGAAAAAAAATAATAATATCTCAAACTCACACAAAAACAATATTGACATCCAATAAAAGCTTTGGCTATTCTATGTCTTGCAATGAATAACCGGTCTCATGTATGTCAAATTTTTTTTTCTCTATTCTGTCAATTGATGTTTCCTTGCCACTGTCGCTTTTGGCTTGCTTAGTTGGGGACACTTCATATATTTAACAATATTATTAATCTGCCTGTATTGACACCATTATATGAGAAATGAACTGAGTTGGACTGTTGTCTCCAGAGAGGCTGTATAGATAAATTAACTCAATTAATAACTTTTTTACAATGAACCATCACTGGACAATGCCACTATTTTCTTCTAGATCTGCTATACAGCCGAAACAAACTTTGTTGCATTATTTTCCTGTTATCTCTGTAAAGCTGCTTTGAAACAATCTCTATTGCAAAAAGCGCTATATAAATAAAGATGACTTGACTTGAATTATTACTTCAAGAATATGGTATTAAAACTGCTATTTCTTAATAACGGATTTCGTATGCAATATTTATGCAAATACATGCTCTGTGTATCATAGTTGTCTATGCAGATATGTATTATCATAGATTGTATTTTATTTGTTATGAATATACTTGTTACATATAGTGCATTATTTAAGTTATTATCTGTTTGAAAAAAACATCTTCATAAAAGCTTTACATATATGATTTATACTATGGCCTGGTTTCACAGACAGGGTTTAGATTAAGCCAGGATTAGGCCTTAGTTCATTTAGGACATTTAAGTAGCTTTTATAAACATGCCTTAGAAAAACACATCACTGATGTGCATCTTGACACAAAACAATGGCGGTGACATATGTTTAGATATGCCAGAGCAAGTTGCTTTCAGTTTAAACAGCTCAAACATGCATTTAGCCCAATACTAGCTTAAGCCTTGTCTGTGAAACCGGGGGTAGATGTTTTATTTACATTTTATTTACTGTGCAAATGATCTTAACTAATTTAAATTATATTTTGAACTAACTTTAGTGTATTCATAACATTTGTGTATAAATATATACAAAATAATCCTGTGTGTGTGTAATGTATATATATATATATATATATGACAGACAGAAAGATAGATATGATTAATTTCTATATTATATATTTATACACCTTATTTATATGCAAATGCATGAAATAATATTACATTTAAGTAAATACTTATATAATCTTATAGTTGTTATAAACATACTCAAATACATTTATGTATAAATCCCAAATCAATTCTGATTATAATGACTCCTCAAATTGGTTTGTATATATATATATATATATATATATATATATATATATATATATATATATATATATATATATATATACAGGTCTTTCTCAAAAAATTAGCATATTGTGATAAAGTTCATTATTTTCCATAATGTAATGATAAAAATGAAACTTTCACATATTTTAGATTCATTGCACACCAACTGAAATATTTCAGGTCTTTTATTGTTTTAATACTGATGATTTTGGCATACAGCTCATGAAAACCCCAAATTCCTGCCTCAAAAAATTAGCATATTTCATCCGACCAATAAAAGAAGTGTTTTTAATACAAAAAAAAAAGTCAACCTTCAAATAATTATGTTCAGTTATGCACTCAATAGTCAATACTTGGTCGGGAATCCTTTTGCAGAAATGACTGCTTCAATGCGGCGTGGCATGGAGGCAATCAGCCTGTGGCACTGCTGAGGTGTTATGGAGGCCCAGGATGCTACGATAGCGGCCTTTAGCTCATCCAGAGTGTTGGGTCTTGCGTCTCTCAACTTTCTCTTCACAATATCCCACAGATTCTCTATGGGGTTCAGGTCAGGAGAGTTGGCAGGCCAATTGAGCACAGTAATACCATGGTCAGTAAACCATTTACCAGTGGTTTTGGCAGTGTGAGCAGGTGCCAGGTCGTGCTGAAAAATGAAATCTTCATCTCCATAAAGCTTTTCAGCAGATGGAAGCATGAAGTGCTCCAAAATCTCCTGATAGCTAGCTGCATTGACCCTGCCCTTGATAAAACACAGTGCACCAACACCAGCAGCTGACATGGCACCCCAGACCATCACTGACTGTGGGTACTTGACACTGGACTTCAGGCATTTTGGCATTTCCTTCTCCCCAGTCTTCCTCCAGACTCTGGCACCTTGATTTCCGAATGACATGCAAAATTTGAGCAACAGTCCATTGCTGCTTCTCTGTAGCCCAGGTCAGGCGCTTCTGCCGCTGTTTCTGGTTAAAAAGTGGCTTGACCTGGGGAATGCGGCACCTGTAGCCCATGTCCTGCACACGCCTCTGCACGGTGGCTCTGGATGTTTCTACTCCAGACTCAGTCCACTGCTTCCGCAGGTCCCCCAAGGTCTGGAATCGGTCCTTCTCCACAATCTTCCTGCCTGAGGGTCCGGTCACCTCTTCTCGTTGTGCAGCGTTTTTTGTCACACTTTTTCCTTCCCACAGACTTCCCACTGAGGTGCCTTGATACAGCACTCTGGGAACAGCCTATTTGTTCAGAAATGTCTTTCTGTCTTACCCTCTTGCTTGAGGGTGTCAATGATGGCCTTCTGGACAGCAGTCAGGTCGGCAGTCTTACCCATGATTGCGGTTTTGAGTAATGAAACAGGCTGGGAGTTTTTAAAAGCCTCAGGAATCTTTTGCAGGTGTTTAGAGTTAATTAGTTGATTCAGATGATTAGGTTAATAGCTCGTTTAGAGACCCTTTTCATGATATGCTAATTTTTTGAGACAGGAATTTGGGGTTTTCATGAGCTGTATGCCAAAATCATCAGTATTAAAACAATAAAAGACCTGAAATATTTCAGTTGGTGTGCAATGAATCTAAAATATATGAAAGTTTAATTTTTATCATTACATTATGGAAAATACTGAACTTTATCACAATATGCTAATTTTTTGAGAAGGACCTGTAGTAATCCAAATCAACAGTAACATACAATGAAGAGCAAATCTTTTCCTTCTCCTGTCTACTCGGCACAATCAGGATGACGAAAGCTAGATAAGTGACTAAGGCATAGGGCATGAACTGAGGCAAAGGTATAACGCGTGACAATGGCAGTAACTTGGTTCATAGGTTATAAGAGGCCAGACTGGGGAAGTGACTTCTCACCACAGCTGGGGGCAGTCTGATCGTGCTGGCTTCCACACTGACACACAGCTGAGTCTCAGTGATGCTCAGCTCAAGCACTGCGAAGGAATAAACAAGAGTGCAGACGTGAGCATGAGTCAGCGACAGTGGGAAAACACTTGTCTGTGTCATCATCAGTTAGTGAGTGAATTGTAAAAGGCATCTAGGATTTAGGGTAGGGTGTAACATGATAAAAGCTAGCTTAAAACATGACTCAGACATGGTGCAAATGATTCTGGGAAAAAGTGAAAGGAGTAGCATATATTATTGAAAAGTAGGCCAACAGTGACTACGTTTACATACACCCACAAAATGTGATTCTGAGATGTAGGCAATATTGCGATTAAACTTCACCTCATGTGAACACAATGATACTTAGATCAAATTGATGCAATTAAGCTCATAATCATAGTAACCATAATCAGAGTGATAATAATCAGGCATGTAAACACTCATCTATTCCACTCTCACTTAAGTGCGCATGTGCTTGTAACCTTCACATGGTTGTCATTAGGGCTGTCACTTTTGTGAAAATATCCTGTTCGATTTTTGAGACGTAAGTGTTCATTGAATCGATTGTAAAATCGATTTTCCATGTCTAAAGACGTTTCCATTTTCAACACCAAATATAGGCAAATCCACGGACAACTAACAGGCATTAGGACGAACGTAAAGAGGGCGCTTGAGACGCGCACAAGTCAGCAATATTCCTGATGATTTATTGGCGTGAAGTTTCGTGCACAATGACAAACAGGAGCGCAACATTCAGGGATTGAAATTAACTCCCTCAACTCGCCAAATGCGGGTAAAAATGAACTTTGGCGGGTAACGCTGTCAAATCACAAGGCGTGTATCTATGTTTACTCGGATTTAGCGCAAATACACAACTCGTGAGTCCTCATGATATATTAAATACAGCGTATTGCAGAATCTGCGCATTTCTGGCTTACTTGAACACACACACACACACACGTCACTACACAACAACGGCGCGCTTGTTCACTTGCATTGAAGTAATAGCGAAAATTAAAAAGCATTTGGTTAACAGAAAAGACATTGTTATTTTCCAACATCCTACATGTTCTATTGATCTGTCCACCTAAAACACATTTTTGGTAAAAAAATTAAATAATAAAAAAAGGCAGTTAAAATCGATTCCCTATTTTCGTTTCGATACTTGTGTTAATTGTGCAATCGATTTTCGAACGTAAAGTGACAGCCCTAGTTGTCATGCACAGATTCGTGAACATATAGCAGAAAAGAAGACATCACATTTTTGGGGTGTTCATGTTGACAACGATGCACGACATTAATATAATGCTGTATATTGATCAAAAACATCGAAATGAAGACATTTAAGCGGGATGAAAACATCCTATATGTCCATATTAATGTGTTTTGCATTTGAGTAAGTCGATTAAAACAGTGGCCAGTAACACGCCTACAGTGTGTGTGTGTGTGTGTGTTAATCATTTATGCTGTGCATTGGGGTATGTGAATAATGGTGGTAAAAATAACCACAATTCTTAGAGAATAATCATAATAATAAAAATTGTATGTAAACGGGAGTGAAGAGGTTTGCTTGTGTGTCATGTAAACATCTTACTGCGATTAAGTCCTTACTCTGAAAATAGTCACATTATTGGTACACATGTAAACATAGTCAGTGGGACAACAAAACAACACAAAAAGTTGTTTTCACTAATAGGAATACATTTAAGTGTTGTTCTAAGTACTCCATCATCTTAGTCACTCCCTGCCAGCAATCAAGAGAAATCACAGTCTAACAATGTGAACAAAAATGGCAGTGTCTCGTGCCAAAGTATACAGACGCATCCCACCTACCAACTGCATTTAGTTTTCCAGAGTCACTGAGGAAATTCTTTCCTGGAAAAGAAGGAAAAAGTCAGAAATACTCTTATATGATGGAACAAACTACATTGAGATTTCTGTGTAATTCATTAAAAGCCTTGTGATGGGGGAGTGTTGCAATCTGTTAACATCACTAAGAAGAATTTTTGATGACGTGTGTTTTAAAACGCTCACATTTTCATAAAAAGAGATTTAATTATAGTAAATTCTCTCTGCTCAGCTTTAATAGAGAAAGACTTCTGAGAGCCATGAATACAGCTTTAACTGTGCTCAAGGACAGTACCACACACATTTTCAAGGCACGACCTCCAACACAAGGCCATCAAACGGTCTGGTTATCTTATCATGTGCTGATTTTTAACTTTTACATCAAATATTTAATACCAACTAATTATTGGCTGAGAAACAAACCTGGTAACTGACTTAAATCTAAACACAGCAAACGACAGGAGCATTGAGAACTAATAAACACTAGTAAAAACAAGTCTTAACAATACCTTATTATATTTACCTTTAATTAGTAACTTTAGTTATGCCGGCACAGTGATAATTCATGAGAACACTCCTGAACTCCAAAAATTCAATGATCTTTCTATTAGTTAAACTGCTCTGAACTGACTATTGCTGACCTTGAGCCAAGGCAATAAAAATATTAGCTCAGTAAAGGAAAGGAAGGGATCGGACTACATGAATTGCTCGTGCCTACACTAGAAAGAGAGCTCAGTTAACATTACACAGCAGCTAAATCAGCCACAAAGTGAACTTCACCCTGTACTAGGGAAAGACTGTCTTCACAGAAGGCATCAGAGTTATTTTGTCAGTGATCAGTTATGTCATATTCTATTGCCTGTATCATTAGAATCCAGACAGGCTAAAGTCAGCTTGTAATTGTGTGAACTACAGACATTTAAATATACTGTCCATGGGATATTAAAGTCCCCCTGTTGTGAAAATCAAGCTTTTAATGTTGTTTATATGTTTACGTGGTGGTTTTAATATGCTTTAAGACAAACCATGTGCAAATTCATAAGTCGACAGCATTGCTAAATATTTTCTCCTTAAAGCAACACCAAGTAACTTTTCCTCAGCGGTCGCCCTACAGGTTGGAAGCGGAATTGTCCATTACCGCTGTCGTAAATAATTTAGCCTAGCGCAGCCTACGGTCGCACGCGCACGCTCGCTGTTTATCCAGCACCGGCTTTGGAATCAACAATGGCAGACATCCCAACCTGCAAGAAGTCATTTCAGGGAGGTATATCTTGGTGACTGGATAGTTGACGGGGGGGGGGCGGCTTGACTAGCTTTCGTGAGGCACACTCGCAAGGTCTCTCGCTCTCTCCTTCTCTGCCGTGCTCGCGCTATGTATGTTATGCGTGCAGTGTGTTCTGTCTCGCATGCGCGCTCTAGATTCTGGCAGATTTGAACTAATTTGCGGGCATCAGGGAGACGCTATAGACTTGGGATGTCTGCAATGGCCAATAGACAATAGACAATAGAGGAAGTGGTGGGGGAAGTGACGTATGCCGTAAAGCAGTCGAGTTTTGTAGTTCTTTTTGTGCTCCGGTTACTACCCGAAACCCGAAGTTGCATAGTGCGAGTGAAAGCGATACAGACCACGTCAGGCTATGGCAGACGTGTCATTTAACCTATTGTAAGTCGATGTACCATCACAAGTAGGGGTGTGCCGGTTTCAGAATTGGTGATGACGGTTATGACGTGAGTCAAATGTGACGGTTCGTAACATAACCGTCGTCGGATTAGCTACTGGCTCTACGTTTATTTAACATGAACAGCAAGACAACTAGAAGTGAATGTGCTTTCCATTAAATGTATCACACAGTAAACAAATCTTTAACTAACAAAACAAACAAACGTTGCAATGAACGTGCTTTTTTAAAATAAATCACACACAGTAAACAAAACCCGGTGCGGTGAGACGTGCATGCTCGGGCAGATTCGGCTTGAAGTCGGTTATCCTCGGACGCGGCGCCGCGCGCGCTGTTACAAAAAAAAGCCGTGCACACAGCCAAGCCAAATGGGGTCTTGCGCACCGAACGCGTCATTTTCGCCGCGCGCACCTTCGCGATCGTGCGGACGCGTCGAGTGTAGGCATGTGCCGGTATCAAATTTTCATGCTGCGGTTAATTGATTGAGCTTTTATCACGGTATACGGTATTATCACGATATTTTAATTGCTCAAGAGAAACGGATGGATTGTGGGTGACAACTTGCATCACAATGTGTAATTGTGATTTTCAAAACATATGGTAATTAAACAGAATTTTATTAAGTTTAGTGACAACATGTTACAATGTTTACATGCTACAATGACTGGTAGGCTACTGTTTGTATTATTCAATTAAATTCTTGGATTTGATTTCAATCTTAATTCAATATTGACTCATTTGGATAAATATTAGGTAGGCTACAGTCTGCATGTTAATTTTGCTCAAGAAAAAAATATACAGTATCTCACATAATGCTGTAAAAATACAGAGAGAAATTAAATATAATGCGTTTTTCATTATAATAACAATTATGCAATGACAAGTAAACATATAATAAAGATGTAATATAGTGCACATATTTAGCAAAATACTCCTCGCTATTTTTTCTAGTCAACTAATGTGCTGGTCATTAAATGGCATTCCTGAGGTAAATGTAACGTTCTGTGACATAATTGTTCTCCTGCAGTTTTATTGACCTCTTTCCGTGCTTGAAAAACACTGATTGATCGATATTATGTATGAGGCATTTACCTTTCAGTAAGTTGTACTGTATCTTTAAATAAAAAGTAACAGATGATCGGTTTACTTGAACTGAGGCGCAGCGATCTGTCACAATGGACAGAACCTAAGAGCTGATTTATTTATTTTTTTCATATCAAAAGTAACCTGCTCTTTCTAGTCTGTCGGTGTCAGTGTCCTCTTTGCTCCGCGATTTTTCTCTGCGTGAGAGCGTGTGAAAAGTGTCAATTGCATAAAGCGCCTTTCAAACAGGACGCAGAATGCGCGGCGCTGGTTTGGTCGACGCAGAAACAAAACGTCCCCGCGCGTATTCCATGTCCTGTCTGAAAGGCGCTTGAGTCTCAAGCTGAATACGTGAGAGTTGGCAGCCGTGCGGGGGATAAATCGTCAGCAGCGTTCCTTCTTCCGCCATGCTTCTACTCCATGTGAGGATTGTTTAAATTAGACTAGAGTGCGCACTGCGCCGCATGCACACAGTGCTTGTACATGTGGGGATTGTTTACATCAGAGTGCGCATGTGTTTTGCGCAGCATATACGCAGTGTTTAAGCGGTTGATGGAAAATAAGCTAATGCGCGTTCTAAAAGTCTAAATTTGAATCTATTATTTTTCACGGTATTTTGAAGTGCCCGCGATAACAATATCGTGCATATTCATTACCGCGATTTATCGCATTACCGAATACCGGCACATGTCTAGTCGAGTGTGTGGCTTTACTCCGTGTCCGTGTCAGCGCGCGCTCTGATCGGTAAAGGGGCACAGACCTCTCCCGAATCATCTCCAGCACTCAGCCTCCGTTTCCCTCTTAAGCTGATATTAGTATTTAAACATTCTCTATGATAAAAAAATGTTTGGAAAAAATATTTTAATAGCACGGTTTTGGCGGTTATAGAGTTCTAATGACGGTGTTCAACTATAACCGTCGGTCTCACGGTTGTATAATAACCGTCACACCCCTAATCACAAGGGTCTTGGAAATATATTATGAAGGTTGAAAAGTTCCATAGTGTTGCTTTAAAACTGCAGTGAACCAAAGACAGTCTCAAAACAATCGCTGGTGTTTCTGACGTCACAAACTACCTTGTAACCAATCAGATCAACGTGTGATCGTCAACGAGTGGATCTCTGAGCTGTGTGAGAGTGGAGGCGGGGCTCATTTGCATTTTCATATAAATACTAAATGAGGCAATGGTGTAGAGCAGGGGTGCCCAACCCTGCGCAGTTTATCTCCAACCCTAATCAAACACACCTGAAGCAACCAATTAAGGTCTTCAGGATCACTTGAAAATTAAAGGCAGGTGTGTTTGATTAGGGTTGGAGATGAACTGTGCAGGACAGTCGATCGGCAGGAGCAGGGTTGGGCACCCCTGGTGTAGAGTGACATTCAAGCTATTTTAAGGCATGACGAATTTTTTTTAATGAAAAAACGTTTAAATATGTCCTTTTGGTGATCAAAGATGCATTTTAAGGGATACAATTATTGACTACAGGGGGACTTTAATACTAGCCTGGCTCCGCCATCCTACATACTTCCGCTTAATTTTCATTTTCCTTCAGTACTACGTCTGGGATTGTCCTGTATTCTTTGGCTTTCTCCAGTCAATCTTTTACCGGTCCAATCACCGAACAGAGGGAGTGGCTGAGAACGATGACGTTGAGGTGCGCTAGTTTGAATGGTTTGAGTCGCTATACGTCATGACCAAACGTCAGCGATTGGTTATGGCAGATCCAGAGTGGCTCTGGACTTAAACAGAGGACCCGCCTACAAGGAAGTTAACGCTAGTCAATGGAGCGAGGCCAGACTCTCTGTACAAATGAAATGTACGAGAGTCTGGTGGGACCAGGCTAGCTTTAATACTCACCAGCTATTAGGTATTGGCCAGCTTTGTTCCATTTAGGGGCCAGTTTAGCAGTCACTGAATAAGACAAACAGGTCTGCAGAATGGCAGGAAACACCCTTTGAGGAAGGTTGAGCTACAGGACGAAAAAAGAGAGACTATTAGAAGCACAAAGGCTAGGTTCACACTGCCGGCAAAAGTGGACCAAATCTGATGTATTTGTGTTTGTTTTTGTTCATATGTCACTCAGACCAGTAATTATATGTAACTGTTATACTGTAACCACATGAAATCTGGTCTATTTCATTCTTGCATATGCGGTCCAAAAATTAAGATACAGGTCTGATGTTTTGCAAATGCAACCTCAGTCTGAAGAGTCATATCAGAATTTACATTTACATCAGACTAGATCGTCATTCTTCACAATCCTGTTTTTTTCTTTAAAGAAGTTAATAATTTTATTCAGCAAAGACACAACGAAATTGATCAAACGTGACAGTAAAGACATTGATAGGTTTATATTCCAAAATGAATGTCGTTCTTTTGAACTTTCTATTCATTAAAGAATCCTGAAAAAATAATTTAGTTTCCACAAAAATATGAAGCAACACAACTGTTTTCAACACTGATAATAATCAGAAATGTTTCTTGAGCAGCAAATCATCATATTAGAGTGATTTCTGAAGGATCATGTGACACTGAAGACTGGAGTAATGATGCTGAAAATTCAGCTTTGATCACAGGAATAAATTACAGTTTACAACATATTCACATGGAAAACAGTATTTTAAATGGTAATATTTCACATTATTACCATTGCACTATTTTATATCAAATAAATGCAGCCTTGGTGGGCAGAAGAGACTTCTTTGAAAAACATTTAAAATATAAATGGTAGTAGTATATTCTGATGCAGTGGAGACACTGTTCGGGACAGACATATAGTGTCAGTCTGGGATAACGGTCAGACTGAACACATGAAACATGAACATTACAGATGTGTCTGAACAAACAAGACACAGACAGACATATTCTCAGAAAAATCTCTTTAAACTAACCTGAAGACCATGTTTCTGTGCAAAGGCCTGGATGATGCCTCTCTTGTGAAATGTAATCTAAGACAAAGTGCAGGGAACAATCAGAATGGACAGTTAAACAAAAATACCAAGTTCATATACATCAGGACCAAAGCTAGAGATCATGGACTTAGAAGAAGCACAAAAACTTCATTCAGCCCTTCATTCAATTGCTACAAAGCATGTCATCTTTCCCCTTTTGGCTACACAAGTACACATGCCATGGAAGTTACATAAGCACAACATAGTCAATTATTCACCAGTGTACCCATTGAAGTCTGACAACACATTCACAACTTTTGTAAAATGTGCATCAGATTCAAATCAAAGCACTACTGAAGGGGTACCACAGCATCTCGGTAGCTGCGTTTAACACAGTGTGAAGTGCTGATTTAATTGGCCTTAGTTCAGGATAGGAAAGGAGATGACAGAGTGTGTGGAATGTGCCTCAAATATTTGGCTTCGCACGGGACATGCCTTAGCACGAGCTGAGCTGACACGCACACACACACACACACAGATGAGAAGTCACGCACATGCAACACCACAAACTTCACTGACAGGTGCAAATGCACGCAAGGTGATGCACGTATCACGAACACTGAGGAAAAAAGAAGAGCAATAACACGTACTGACAGGAAAAGCAATATAAATCATAAATGTTTTGCCTGACATGGAATTATTCATACAGTATGTTATGGCATTAATTCAAATCATCATTAAATATAATTACGTTACATTTTATTGAAAACAAAGTTGCATTTTGTGAGCAAGAGCATTGGTTATTTCATCTATGCAAGTAGGAATATAATTGAGAGGCACGTCGAATTATGGTTATGCTAAGTGCACTAAACATTAAATATTACTTCAGCCTTATTTCTGCATGCATACATCATGTGGAATGTCTAAATTATGTAAAACAATATATATAAGCAACCCAAATACACTAATCAGATTTGATTAGGGCAATTCTACTTTCCTTTTGATCCTAATAGGCCTACACTGCAAATGAACAGATTTCTGTTTTTGTTCATAATTTATCGTCAGCAATTATAGAAACTTGTAACAACTTTTAATTTAAAAACATTTGTAACAAATGTCACATAAACCCAATATAATAAATATCACACCACATTGGTTCTGTGATTGCTTGTATCTTTTCTTTGCGTAACAATTAGTAATTCATTGTTTTCACGCACACCTGGAGGGCAAAGCAAGACTTTTCTCCATTGCCCACCTATCATTCTTACTAGGTTTGTACTGATGTTGTAAAACTGTGATATATAAAAAAATAAAAAATAATAATAATAATATACCTTATTAATGATGTATATGTACAGGCAAGCAGGTGAAACTGGAGTAATATAAAAGTTTTTCAGAACGTCCTGCTGTTTTTACTGTTGGCTGCATTTGGATCACAAGTGCCCAAAACTTGCATTTTGTTCACATATTTTTATTTGTCTTGTTTTGGGAGGTGATCTAAATATTTGTGGCTGGAAAAAGGTGTAAAATTGACAGGCTTATGCTGCAGTTTTATGGATTTTTTGCCCTACAGGTCTCCACGTCACGTGGCTGAAAACTATGAATGGGAAAAGCAGTTCTTATCCTACACAATTATTTGCTATACAGTTTTTTATGAAAATCCATACAATGCATTTAAATCAAACTAAATAAATAGCTAAATCACTGCTTAAAAGTTAACACTTTGGATCAATACTCTCACAAACAAATGCTTAAAATCAAAGTTGTAATTGATTGGCAAAATTATCAAGAATTAGGATACTATACAAATATGCATGTATGTTATCTCGCTCTCCTGTATGAAGTACTCTATTTCCTCTACTACAAAATGCAATTGAAACAGAAATTTAATTTAAAAAATGAATAGTTATATCCATCCTTATCCTCTCTAAAGACTAAGGTCACAGGAGACCAGTTAAAAATGAATAGTTATATCCATCAACTGCTTATCCTCTCTAAAGACTAAGGTCACAGGAGACCGGAGTTTATTCAGCATTTCGGGCTGAAGGCAGCTTATTTATATATATTTTTTAGTTTAAAGCTGATTGTAAATTATATGTTAAATGGACTGCATTTATATAGCGCTTTCACAGACCCAATGGTCATCAAAGCGCTTTACATATTGCCTCACATTCACCCATTCATACACCGACGGCTTTATTATAATGGATATCACACACACACTATATCATACTTACAGTCATTATAACAGTGATGCCGCCACAATGGCCTAACAGAGGTGAGGCAACAACATCTGAATGCAAGAGAACAAGCTCCCTGAAAGAGAAGGAAAAAAGAAGACTTTTTTCAGTTTAGTGGAAGCATGTGATATCTGTGATTGATGCAGTTCTGGTGAATTTGACACTTCCAAGGTCAAAATAATAAAATATAAAGCACTTCCATCATCCTAGGAAAAAAACGAGGGGTCTGTTTGCCTGGTTCTTAAAAAGACAGAATATGTCTTTAAAATCCAATACAGTTTGGAACTCTAGTCTAGTGTGTTGATTTACATAAAGTTGGCATGAAATGGAAGCTGTGATGATCTTTTCTTTTGTATTGTGTATATCCAAGTGAAACTGCATCATGAACAAGAACAAATGTAGGGCGGAACTTGATTTTGTCTGTGGGGAATTGATTGGATGGTTGTGGTTAGCTATTGGTGGATCTTATGTGAGTGACAGGTTGCCCCGCCCTCACGCCAGTAAACACGTCATCAGAGAAGAGATGTTGCTGCAAGACAGAGGGGAAGCTATTCTGATTCAATATTATGAGGAAAGTGAATTAAAAAAAATGTGTGCACAGATAAATCATTTATAATAATTGCTATATGTGCATTAAATCACAAGTTAAAGATAATCTATCAAGATATTATTAGAAATGTTAGAAAAAACATGGTCTTAAAATCATTACACTTATAACAGTAACTCGTATTTTAAAACATAATATTTGTCTTTTCACCTGCAGGTTTTCAATTGTTTGTTTCTCAACTCTCCTTCGTCGTAACTTTTCGGGAAGAACAGATTTACACAACATAAATTCCTCAGGTCCGGGAGACTGAGGAAAAACAAAGACTGTGTCCCACTTCCACTCATTCTGAAAGGGAAATCGTGAGGGTTAAATTGGCCAAACTAACACAGTCACTGATCTGTGACCAAAATTAGCTAATATTGGAGAGACTATTTTGGTCCAAAGATTAATGTTAAATGAAAAAATGACGCTTCGAGAAATTACCGCATGAGACAAAACTCCAATAAAAAGTTTACCTATAATTTAAGAAAGAAATAAATAACTTTTTACCTCAGTGAGGTTATACAAATATGTTGAGGTAAAACGGCACAAGCTTTTGGCGGCAAGAGCGAGGAGACACTAAAGTCTCGCGTGCCAGTGTTTTAAGTGAACACACACACTTATCTGACAGAAAAACCTAAACGACATCAACAACAGGCGCCTGAAAAGGGCAACCCACTTAAATTATCGTGACTACTTGATGGCGATAAACTGCAACGTTTCCGTATTGCGTGAGAACTGTGCTCTCGTGAACTTTCGTGAACTTCAACCGAGTTGCTTCGTTTGCTTCACCGAAACCTATGACCCAATGAGTTGATTGACAGCCCTTGGTCCAATCGAAACAGACACACTAGGAAACCCAGGAAAGATACCATCCAATCAGATTTCGTCTTAAGCGGAATGGGCGTTGCCTGGCGAGTTGGGAAATACAATTGTTGGTGGTAGATCCAGTTTTGAAGTAGGTGAAGTGAACGATTCGAAGGGAAACTTAAGAAAGTTTCTGAACAAACAAAACACATTTAATCAAACCAATGGAAAACAACGGAACGGACGAAAAGGGTGTTAAATATTATCGTTTGTCAGAGGTGGAGGAACGGAACTCTTTTAAAAGCACATGGATTATCATTCATAATAAAGTGTACGACGTGACAAAGTTTCTCGAGGAGGTGAGTTTTTAAAACAGAGCCTCAAATGTTCTGTTTGGTGCCAAACACATAGCTAACATTTACATTATAGTATTGTTTTGGAATTGTGTAATGCATGCATTACGTGTATTGCATTGTATAAACATAGACCCGTTGAATTGTAATTGTTTAATGCATAATATAAATAAAATAGATGTGCATTATAATGCATAGAGTTAATAAATGAATGCAATGAAAAAGTCAGCTCAAAACGTCCAGTACAAAAGTTTACACTGCTTAAAGTGAGTACTGAATGGAGTGACCTTTTCCAAGTGCTCTCAAGAGATTTAATTACAATAGTTGCCTACTAATGTGTTTGGTGTGAAATTGGCATTAGTGCAGTAACTAATATACCTCGCTAAACAATCAAATGCACTGTTATTTTTGATTAAATTTGCTTTTGGTGGTCAGATTTGTATGATGAAAAGCTGTAGTTGTACCACACACTAACTTACCTTGCTGTAATTGATCAGATAACCACTCTGACATTTCACATCTTTCCCTATTATCTATTTCTATCATTATCTAGATCTAGAGAACCACCTATTTCTAAACATTTTACTCAAGCTAGGTCTAAAAGTGCACATAAGGATAGAGGTCGCCCGATAAATGATTTAACCGATAGTGACACTAGGTTGGCCCACACTGGCCAATAAGGATTAATCAACCAATAGTTTTTAAAATAGATACTGAATGAAAACAAACATAACAAATAAACTAGTGCAGAACTTTATTGAAAAAACAGTACTGAACCATGAAACTTTTTAAATATATATATAAAAAAAAATTATACCTTGATCATTCATGTCAGCTCATAGTGCATTAACTAATGTTAAGAGAAACAACTTTAAAATGTATTAGTAAATGTTGAAATTAACGATGAACTATACTTTTATTAGGCTAACCTTAATTAATGTTACAAATGAAATCTTATTGTAAAAGGTTACCATTTCATATAAATCCAAACAGTCATGCTTACAGATGGCCATCTTTAAATATCTACACAAAGGCCATATCATTGAAATTAGACGCATGTTTATTGTATATAAGGTATCCTCTCACACTCTATTTGCTTCTAAAATCAAAATAACAAAATATACTACAGAAAAAAAAGAACTGAAACCGAATGCATTTCTGATTCGTTTATGTTTTTGTCGGCTGCATGATGATACCGTTTGCTTTCTCATGTCTCTAGCTTTAAATATGCTACTTCACTGCATAACAAATGCATAAAAGCGATCAGCTGGATATATAAATTGTGTGTCACACTGCTGTTCTCCACTAATGCAGCATCTAGTCAACAAATTAATTACTTTATATTAATGATATGAAAACATGAACTGTAGTGTACTATATACATACTGTTTCATTGTCTGTTTTAAATCTGATTCTGAAGTGTCCCGCTCAGTCAAAACAAACTCCACGAGGTGTCAGTGATCGTTTTTATTTGGCCTCTAGAGGCCGCTCTCGTACTGTATGATGACAGCAGACTCTTCTCAGCCGCTCCAGCAACGGACGCAACCTCGAAAAACGAACGGTATGGGAATTTCCCATAACCGATTATTCCAGCAATCGGTAATCGGTGCCGATTAATCTGCAAAAAACTATCAATTGGTCGACCTCTTGATCATATGGATGCATGACTCTGTGCACTGATGGCACTTAAATCTACTGATAACTTCCTAGGGAACAGTTTTCAAAGACCAATCAAGTTCAAAAGGGATTGATACTTCTGTACAGATAATCGTTGTCGGGATAATTCCGGTTCACGTGGCTACGCCAAAGCGATACAGTTCTGTATTAGGAAAGGCGAAAACTAAAAATTTTCTTGACCGACCACCGAGCCTCATTAGCCGGTTGAAACCGGTTAACCGATTAGTTTAAAATATGCCACGCTATTTGAAATAACAGCCATTTCGAGCCGCGCATGCAATTCGCAACTCTGTCGCATCTCTCTCTCTGCCTCCCGCACACACACACACACACACACACACACACTGCCCCGGCGCCGGCGCCGGGATTTTTTAAATCCCCTACAGCGCGAAACATGAGTTCCGCAAACGCGGCGCTGAGGAGCTTGTATAATCGGAGGACAAATGGCTCCTTAGTTTTGAAATGGTTTGGGTACAAGGTTATCGCGTTAAAAATAAAGGCGTTAGTCTAGCGTTAGAAGCTCATTTGAAACATTGCCGCGGCTCATTTAAGAAAATGACAGCTCCGAAGAGACGCTACTTTAGTTTGAGGTAGTGCTACTGCTAACAATAATAAAGAAAGATGATGATCATCATCACCTTATCTATTACCACTGAAATGTAATATATTTCTACAGTATTACTACTGTATTTAAGCACTGTATCACACAAGATGCAACTTACTGTGTCATTCTTTTTGGTGAAATGGTTCCACACACTATGTTTTTTTGCACGCTTCATCCTGTCGTCTGCCCTGGCTCTAACCTCGAGTGTTTTAGCCTGTAGCCTTTACTTTTCGCAAACCTTGTGAGCGCGTGAACCCAAACGCTGTGACCTCGCGCCAAATGTTTTTATTGGTTTATTAAAGGAGCTGTATGTAAGATTGTGGCCAAAACTGGTACTGCAATCACTTTCAAATTACTGTAGAGCGGTGTATCCCCTCCCCCTCCTCCCTGACTCAAGGTTGCCAGACAGGCTGCAGGATCCCGCAGGAACGTGACGAGCTGCAGCTGTGGTAACTAGAGCAGAGCTGGCAACCCGGATGCTGCAACACTACTGACTTCGTGATTGGTAGATGGGTGGAGGGTGGAGCATCAGACCAAAACACAACATGACAACATCAACATCAGTTGAGGTCTGCAACTTCACTTTTTAAATGACAATATCCTGGCCGGACTACTGTTGTCAGTGATATAAGTATTTGAAATGTACATGATTTCTTAATGTCTAGTGACATATCAGGGCCATTTTATGATTAATTGAAATAAATTTCTTACATACAGCTCCTTTAAGTACAAACAGGCGAGTTATGAAAAATTGAGTGTGAGGGATTTGTTCACTTCACACAAAAATATCTTGGAATGAGATGGCTAACTGTAGTAGCGTTTAGTCCACTGTCTATAATAGCCTAATTTAGAGGTCACTTTTTTTTTTTTTACCGACTACCGACAACTTTGATCGGTTAACGTTGAGACGGTCAACCATCGGTCAAACGGTCATCGGTTAGCATCCCTATTCTGTATTATAAATTTTAAGGTCAGACAAGTAGTTTGTCGAGGGTTGGTTTTTTAGGGAAGGACTACATGCCTGCGCACATATATTCGAACGCGCATCCCTATAGAATTAACTCTTAAAGCAACACCAAGTAACTTTTCCTCAGCGGTCGCCCTACAGGTTGGAAGCGGAATTGTCCATTACCGCTGTCGTAAATAATTTAGCCTAGCGCAGCCTACGGCCGCACGCGCACACTCGCTGTTTATCCAGCACCAGCTTTGGAATCAACAATGGCAGACATCCCAACCTGCAAGAAGTCATTTCAGGGAGGTATATCTTGGTGACTGGATAGTTGACGGGGGGGGGTCGGCTTGACTAGCTTTCGTGAGGCACACTCGCAAGGTCTCTCGCTCTCTCCCTCTCTGCCGTGCTCGCGCTATGTATGTTATGCGTGCAGTATGTTCTGTCTCGCATGCGCGCTCTAGATTCCGGCAGATTTGAACTAATTTGCGGGCATCAGGGAGACGCTATAGACTTGGGATGTCTGCAATGGCCAATAGACAATTTGAGGAAGTGGTGGGGGAAGTGACGTATGCCGTAAAGCAGTCGAGTTTTGTAGTTCTTTTTGTGCTCGGGTTACTACCCTAAACCCGAAGTTAGTTAGTGCGAGTAAAAGCGATACAGACCACGTCAGGCTATGGCAGACGTGTCATTTAACCTATTGTAAGTCGATGTACCATCACAAGGGTCTTGGAAATATATTATGAAGGTTGAAAAGTTACATAGTGTTGCTTTAATACGCATGTGCACGCCATCAGCGTTCTCCCAGGTTCGCGTTTTTAAAGTTTGCATAGAGTGAACTTAAGAGTTTTCTGTTAAAACGGTGTCGTGTTAGCAAGTTAATAACTAATGATCGTTGCGACGGAAGTGAATCAATTAAAACTAACTTTAGCTGGAAAATCACTTTATTCTAGAGCTGTCATAAAGCCAAAACAATCTCTGTTACTTTAACTTCCTATCATCACTGTAAAGCAGCTTTGGAACAATCTACATTGTTAAAAGCGCTATATAAATGTAGATGACTTGACTTGACTTATAGGGCTTTGCTCTCGAGTGTGATCTTCTGATGCATTTGCTGGTGTCCACAGCACCCCGGAGGAGAGGAGGTGCTGCGAGAGCAAGCGGGTGGAGATGCCACAGAGAGTTTCGAAGATGTCGGCCACTCGACAGACGCACGCGAGATGGCCAGTTCTATGCTCATAGGAGAACTGCATCCAGTAAGTCCTCCAGAAAGCAGTACTGTTGTGGAGCATTAGTGTGAAGAAGACCTTGTGGGCTTTCTGACATTTCTGCCTTTGTGAATATACTGTATTTCCAGAAATATTGAAAAGGTATTTCAATATTGACATATTTTAATAATTTCTTATTAAAAGTAAATCAAGAAAAACTGAAAGGCTAGACAATTCCACAGCAGCTTCATCTTTGATATTTTTTTAAAAGGAAATGAAATCGAGGCTTTGAGGGATAGACACGTATCTCTTCAGTGGGTTGTACTGTTATTCAATGTGTTTTTGTATTGTTCTGCTGACGAAACACTGCAAAAAATATCTTTCTAAGAGATTTCAGTAAACAAAAAACTCCCGACAATATGATCTGTGGAAAATTATGAGTGATCTAGGAGCTTTTTTACAGCGGATGCCATTGAAAACACGGTGAGTTTATCCCTCATAGCCTTGATGGCGCAGCTCTGAATAAGGTTATATGGCAGCTTGTTTCTGCCATGGAATAAATAAATAAAAATTAAAAGGTAACTGCGACTTTTTATCTCACAACACTTTTTTTCTGAGAATTCTGAGATATAAACTTTATAGGTTTTTTTCCTCGCAATTCTGTGATTAAAAAGTCAGACTTACGAAAAAAAATTAAAAAAATTCTGAGATAAAAAGTCAGACTTACGAGACAAATTCGCAATTCTGATATAGAAAGTAAGACTTATGAGACAAACAAACAATTCAAAGTCAGACTTACTAGACATAAACATGCATTTCTGAGATAAAAAGTAAGACTTATGAGGTACAAAGACAGACAAGACATAAACTCACAATTCTGAGATAAAGTCAGAATTGTAAATGTAAACTTTTTTTCTCAGAATTGTGAGTTTATATCTTGACTTGGACTTTATATTTCACAGTTAAGATTATATCTTACACTTCGGAGAAAGAAAGTCAGAATTGCGAGACAAACTTTCAATTTTGAGAAAAAAATTCACAATTATCTTTTAAAGATTATTTTATTTTGTGTCGGAAACAAGCTTCGATTCGGGCTGTTATTTTAAATTGTACCCTGCATGTTTTTTCAAAGTCTGTTTTGCACTGACAGTCACAAAAAGACATGAATAATCATTAATGATTTATAGTTTCAGTGAAGGGATTACATCACACCAATATATGCCAATGGTAACCTATGCGAAATAAAAATATGTATATATATCCACAAATACAACCAAAGTCACAAACTTCCCAATCCCCCTGAGATATCGGGGAATGTTCCATGAAAAGTCTGTTGATTCATAGTTGTATCTAACGAAATCCGAGGTGTGTTCATAGACCTCCGGGGGCTTGAGATACTATCAATAGCCTGGAATCCAGTTGTATTCCTCTTGAAGGACCTGTAATGCTGCTGGATTCAGCACACAGATGCTATCAGGGTGTTTCTGTGCCAGAAAATTCTATTCTATTCTAAATTCTATTTCAATTGGATATGAGATAGCAAACTGCATGCAGAACAGTTATTCAATTTTAAAGAAGTAGAATGAAATTCAAAGAAATATATAGAACTGCGGTGAGGTATTTTGATTCATAATAACAAATCTTTGTCAGTTTTGATCACGGGAAGAAATTACAAATTTTAAACATATTTCAATATAAAACGGTTATTTTATATTGTAGCAATATTTCACAATATTTACTGTATTTTTGATTAAATTCAAAAACATAAAAAATCATATCAAAATATTTGAACAGTAGAATGTACAATCATGTGAAAAAGATTTTGAATTCTAGGGTTTTATATATTAGGACATAATAAAAAATCATCTGGTCCTTGGCGGGTCTTAAAATTAGGTAAATATAACCTCAGATGAACAACAACACATGACATATTACACTGTGTCATTGTTTATTTAACAAAAACTAGGCCAACATAGAGAAGCCATCATGTGTGACAAACTAAGTACACATTTACTGCTTTCCTAGGAATGAAGAGGGTTAGTATCAGTCAGGCTCTGCTGATCAAACGTCTTTGATTAATTGAACATCAGCAAGCGTGACCAACTCTATAAAAGCAGTTTCAGGTGTGTGTTAACACGATACCAAGGAGGAAAGACATCAGCAATGATCTTAGAGAAGCTTGTTCCTGCCCATCAATCTGGGAAGGGTTACAAGGTCATTTCCAAGCAAATTGAAGTCCATCATCATACAGTGAGGAAGATTATTCACAAGTGGAAAACGCTCAAAGCAGTTTCCGGACGTCCCAGCAAATTCACCCCGAGGTGAGAGTGTGTAACGCCCGAGACAATTTATATGGAGACATGCCACTTCCTCAATCCTCAATACAACTATATAGGGAAAACCCGTAACGCCAAAGACGGCGGTTGTATGCACATGCCCCACCCCTCCCACTGGAAAGCCAATCCTCTGCTTTTAACAGTCAAGCCGGGAAACATGTAAGCCTATCGTCTGGTTCCACTGACGCATGCGCACAGTTGAGGTTTGCGACAGCGGAGACGAGAACCCTTGCGCATGCGTAGTAAAGTTGACGAAATCAAGCACCGCCCTACATTTTTTTTCTAATTTCAGAAGATCTCAACTTCCGTTTCATGTCGACTTTAAGAGAGCTGTGCAGAAACAGAAGCTCACAAACCTCAATGAACTGAAGCAACGTTCCTTCACAATGATGTGAGAGACTGATAAAGTCAAACAGATAATGATTACTTCAAGTTATTGCTGCTAAAGCTGGTTCTACAAGCAATTGAATCATAAGATGGACTTAGTTTGTCACACACACGGCTTCTCCATTTTGGCTGTTTTTGTAAAATTTTTGTTTTGTTTTTTTTATTTTGTTTATCTGAGGTTGTACTGACCTAATTTTAAGACCTATTTAATGGTAATTAATTTTGCTTTGTCAATAAAATGTGAACAAACTGTGATATTTTTGTATCATGCCTCTCCTCTTGTTTCCTCTCAGGATGACAGGGACAAGATTCCCAAACCACCAGTACGTAAACCATTTTTTCAAATCATATTTTCTCTCCATGTTCCTGGTTTTAACAAACAAACACAGCACTGCCTTTCACTGTTTTTGTTTCACATTTGGAAGAACCACCTAAAAATGCATTTGGTTTTCTGTTGAACAGGAATCGCTTGTAACAACCGTACAAGAAACAACAAGGTGAGTTTACATGTATGCACAAACATGCCTAAGAATATCTCAGGGTTTAGATGTTAGATATATTTCTTGTTCTTTTTTTCTTGTATGAGGGATCATGTTCTTTTAAGTCCATTGTTTATTATTTTTACTTTCCATTGTAGTTCAGAAACAGGAAGTATCTGGTTAATAATTCAAGCTAATTCGCAAGTGCTTTGAAATCTCTTGTTCCAGCTGGTGGTCAAACTGGTTAATTCCTGCTGTTGCCGCGGTGATTGTCACGTTCATGTACCGTATTTACACCGCAGAGGAGGCATGATGGGATGCTTTCTCAGAGCGGCGCTCAGCTGAAACTACACTACCCATAATCCATTTCAGGTTTAACCATTACCATAAAGATTCTACAAATGAAGGCAACTTTTGTGTTCGTTTCAATGTTTGTTGTCAAGTTTATCCCTTGAGATTTAATTCCTGATATGCAGATGTTTTTTATGATAAATAAGAGTATATTTTAGATCTACTTTGAGCATTATAAATATGTACACTAAAGATGAAGTTTTGGTCGTCTAATTGTTTTTCTGTTGTGTAAAACTGTGTATACCATTATTCAATTGAAATATCCAGCCTGAAATATACTGAATATTATCACATACATAAACACAACAGTTTGCTCCTACAAAGAAATAATTTAATTTCACTTGAAATGCATAATTTTCACATGCAAGTTGATCCTACTTGGACCAGGGAGAAATCATACAAATTATTTAGATCTAAAAAAAAAAAAAAAAATGTATGGGTAAAATGGAAGAAGATATTGTTTAGGTAATTATTTAATCGTTAACATGCCAATTGTGACAGATTCAACATGAATTATTATTCGCAGCTGATAATCATAATAAGCTCCAAAATCAAAAGTGAAAAAAAAAAATATATATTTTGCATAAATAAAATGAAGATTATTTTTAGGACCATTAAGATTTTTTGAATTGTGACATTATTTTTATGACAATCAAGTATATGTTTTGCCGAGTTCTTCTTCTCATCTGCTATTCTTATTTTGCATTACAATAATGTTCATTTGTCTTGAAAATAATGTTGCAATGCAAAAACGGTCTTCGTTTGTTTTATGCAAAACATAATCTAATATTTCTCTTTTGATTTTGTGGAGAAATATGAAGCTAAACTGTTCAGAATGTGATTGTACACAACCTAACAAAAATATATCATTATGTGCTTAATTGAGGCAAGTTCTTTTAGTCGGTCAGCTAGAAGTCACCACATCTTTAGTGAAGAGCAACACTGTTATACTTGTGTACACGTGTGTAATGTATATCAGTGGACCACCTTGAACGGTGCTTATACATTCCCTTTTTATTTTAAAACAAACTGAATGTAATATACTTGTATATGATAAGAGATTCAAGCAACTTTCCCATAGAAATGTTGATCCAGATGATCTTCATTGCTGCTGCCACACTAATGCTAATGTGAGAGAATCACACACATACACACACACACACACACACACACACACTGTAACCCGTGACTCAATGCATCAGTCAAATCAATCAGCTTTACTGTGTCCCAATAAACAAAGAAACTGCTTGTGTGACTTGCTGTAAACTCATTTCAGTAAAAAGGTATCCTTATGCATTCTTATAGAACAGAAGAGCCATTCAGTCAACAGTTCTTACAAAAAACATTTATTACCAAGTGTGAACTGAAGAACATTTGAATAAACTAAATAACCTTTTTCCACAATAAATAACTTTTTGTTCTTCCATGGATGTTACAGTTTTTAATGTACCAAAGATGCCAATAATTATTAAGAGTATATAGTGGCACCAAACAATATTTGAACGCTTACAGTAAGACTGAACATGAATTTAATTTTATTGTATGATACCATATCAAACCAAGTAACATTTATGATTAAAAAAGATACACTTTCCAAGCAAAAATGTTAGTGATGGTTTTAAAAACATTGGATATTGACACTTTCTAGTTGACTTCATACATGCATTAAAAATCAACTTGAGACCTGTTCGTGCAAATGCCAGTTCTGAGAAAAGGTAAAGTAGCATTTAAGCATAGATATCTGAATTGATAGTTTGTTATCTAATCTAATGGAATGACATCAGAAGTGTGAAATAGTTTGTTTCGACATTTAGTGTCAGGAAATGTTACAACACTGACATCTGCTGGAGATTCGAGCTGCTACATCACTGGAAAGCCACTCATTTCAGTGTCATAGCAAAGTCCCTTTAAATGTTATTCTATAGTCTTTAGTAATAGTCATGAAAAATAGCTTTAAATGGAGAGCCATAATATGTTCTCATATAGAACACAGTTAAGTAACAGTTGAATATAAATTGCTATTAATACAAGTCTTTATTATAATCACGAGCTGTCATCTCATTTAGCTCTTTATCATCAGTGTATGGCATGCCGTTTTAACATTTAATCATTTTAACCTACTAGTCTCTATTTGCATGCTACTAGTACTTATTTTTTAGATACTAGTATCTATTCCATTAAGTACTAGTACTTATTCAATAGCTACTAGTGCTTTAGGTACTAGTACCTTTTTAAAGATACTAATACTTATTAGGGGTGTACGATTCATTCGTTTTCTCGATGCATCGATTACAAATCCTGGCGATGCATATGCATCGATCTTGAAACATGTATTTCGAATTGTGAATCGTTTATTTCGGTCAATATTCGATTTAAAATGCTAAGAATCGAATAATTTGCGATTCTATATCGATTCAGTGCTTTAAAACATAAAAACAGTCATTAAATGACTACATGCGCGAATTAATGAGGCGTTGTGCGGCGTCATTTCGCGTCCTTACAGCTCTCACATACTCGCTGCACTCTTACCATCTTTCACTGGATTTCGCTCGCGCTCGGTCCCATATAGCTCTCATCTGCAGATTTTTGAGCAGTCCGTGTTTGAGCTCTCCTCAGGACAGCCATTGGTGTTCACATGAGCAGATGACAGCTCTCTATCGAGAAAGCAAGCCATTGATAAAGCTGCCATATCATTGCGCAGTCACTGAAACAACGCGTTCGTTGCGTGGAAACGTCACCGTTATTTTCTTTAAGATAAGATACTGAAGTTTTACGGAAATGGGTCATACCCGTCCTGAGCAGTTAAAGTAAAACCCCACTTATTCAAGGGTGCGCATTTATTACATGGAAAGAGAAAACGTATAATAGGTGTCTAAAATGCACACGCTTCCGATTAATCATGAATGATGAATGAAATGTAACTTAATGTCGTTAAACTGAACTGATGAAATAACTACAACATTAATTACACTGAAATAAGAGCGCGTGGTTTATCCATCAATCAGATGCGCATTAAAGTTGCATTCGTAATCGTTAATATAGCACAAGTAGACAGCCGGCGCGTTTTCTTTCAGAATCACAAGGAAAATGTTCAGTCGGATAAAGAGAAAACAAAGAGTATAGCTATTCCATGAGGAAACGTTAGTTAAGGTTTTAGTTGGGAAAGTTCATGGTATTTTTAGTCTCACAATGGAAGGATGTTTAATGTAGGAACACTTTAAGGTTGTGTATCCATTCCTACAAAATAGTTAGCATGATGAACTATACTTTTAAAGCCTTTTTAAATCTTGGTTTACATTTTTACTAATGCTAATTTGTAGGCTTTGGAAATATTTTTTATAAGAATAGATTCATTAAAAACTAACATGAACTAACGTTAACAATAGACAAAATGTCGTTGTTTTTCTTTTCTTTCTTTTTGTTCCCACTCTCTGACCCCCGAAGGCAGCTGTATAATTCACACCCTGACTAAGACCCATTGGGGGAAGCATTTAAATAATCCTATGAATGCATATAAAAAATTAAGAATCGAATCGAATTAATTGAATCGCATCGAATTTTAATGTGAATCGCATCGAATCGAATCTTTCTGAATTTGCAAAAATCGTTCTTGAATCGAATCGAAAACCTATGAATCGTGAATCGAATCGATTCGCTGCCTACCCAAAGATTCACAGCCCTAATACTTATTCATTAGATACTTTTGATTTTTGCCATTGACGTCTATGGGGATCTGTCATTCAGATATCAACTATTCAGTTCTGACTATTATGTATTCCTATTGTGACTAGTACATATATATTAGATACTAGTAGTTATTCATTAGGTACTAGTACTTATTTAATAGATACTTGTACTTATCCATACTAGTACTTATTCATTAGATACTAGTACTTATCCATTAGCTACTAGTACTTATTTAATAGATACTACTTATTCATTAGATACTAGTGCTTATTCATTAGATACTAGTACTTATTTCAATAGTGACTAGTACCTATTTATTAGATACTAGTATTTATTCCAAATGCTACTAGTAAGAATTTTTATTGACTCTACAGTGGCCGTTCTGACTAGTCATAACATAAGACTAGTAAAAAAGCAGTTGTGACTAGTAAGATAAGAATAGTTGCTAGTAACAATTACAAAAGATACTAGTGTATAATAAATAGGTACTAGTATCTATTGAATAAGTACTAGTAGCTAACAAATAAGGACTAGTATCTATTGAATAAGTACTAGTATCTAATGAATAATAGCCTACTATCTAATGAATAAGTACTATCTATTTAATAGGTACAAGTATCTAATGACTTAGTGCTAGTATCTATTGAATAAGTACTATAGCTAATTAAAAGGTACTAGTAATTAATAAGTACTAGTAACTAACAAATAAGGACTAGTATCTATTGAATAAGTACTAGTATCTATTGAATAAGTAGTATATATTTAATAGGTAGTATCTAATTAATAAGTACTAGTATCTAACAAATAAGGACTATATCTAATGAATAAGTAGTAGTATATATTTAATAGGTACTAGTATCTAAAAAAATAAGTACTAGTACCTAATGAATAATTACTAGTATCTAATATATATGTACTAGTCACAATTGGAATACACTAATCAGAACTGAATAGTTTATATCTAAATGACAGATCCCCATAGAAGTCAATGGAAAAAATAATAATTTGTTACTAGTAACAAAATAATAGTTACTAGTCACTACTGGAATAAGTACTAGTATCTAGTACTAGTATCTAATGAATAAGTAACTAATGAATAAGTACTAGTATCTAATGAATAAGTACTAGTAACTAATGAATAAGTACTAGTATCTAATTAATAATACTAGTATCTAATTAATAAGCACTAGTATCTAATAAATAAGCACTGGTAATAAATAAGGACTAGTATCTAATGAATAAGTACTAGTATCTTTAAAAGGGTACTAGTACCTGTTCTGGCTTAAAATAAGCACTGGTAATAAATAAGGACTAGTATCTAATGAATAAGTACTAGTATCAAAAAATAAGCACTAGTAGCTATTGAATAAGTACTAGTACTTAATGGAATAGATACTAGTATCTAAAAAATAAGTACTAGTAGCATGCAAATACACTGTAAAAAGTGAAACATTGGATTAACCTAATAAAATCGAAGTAACCATTCACAATAAAGATTTTACATT